TAAGGGGTGATGACAGTACTAAAAGTATATGGCAGTGGATTTGAATGACATAGATAGAGATGATGAGATAGAGATGATGACACACAGTAAGATTCTAGACAGGCATAAGCTTGTTACTGCAATGTCCTACTATGAGGCTTTAAGAGGTTAAATAATATGCCTCTAGTAGGTGGTAGCAGGTGGAAACAAATCCATTTCATTGCTGTAGACCACTACACTTTAATTTAAAGGAGTTTTCGTGCATTAAAGATGCTGATTCTATGCAAAATAGTAAGACTTGAACTGCAGAGACCTGTATCAACTTTTACATTAAAAATTACATGTGTTATATTGAGAGTATTCAATTCTAAATTTTACAGAATATAATCCTTAACAATGTTAACAAATGATTACAAAGGGTTTTAGCAAATGATTGCAAAGGACTTTGTCATTTACAAAGCATTTTAACACCCATCAGTTTATCTATTGGGCAATGGTTAAGTGATTTCAAGGGTAAATACTTAGTAAGTAATAGTAAGACAACATAGCAAAATAAAAATATGTACTTAAATGGTCACTTTTGCAATATTACTGAATAAATCTTGGCAGTTCCCAATAGCTTGTTTTCTTAATTTAGGTGGATAATGTCTTTCTTGCCTTTCTAACATCAGCCCCCAAATCACAAACAGAATCCTAGTAAATACTGTTAGAATGAATTAAACTTCTATTGTGTACCAAATAGATTTTCCAATTCATTTTCTTTCTTTTTTTTTTTTTTTGGAGAGGTTTTCGCTATAGGGCGCGTGCGCTCGCCAGACAGACAGAGACAGACAGAGAGATAGAAAGCGAGAAAGCACCCCCCAGGGGGGATGGTCACGCCGCAATCCCTTCTCCATTCTCCTCTCGGGATCTTGGGCACGCACGCACATGCGCCCGGCATGAGTCTTAAGCCACCGGGTCCGGGACGCGAACCGCAGTTGACTACATGGGAGTCCAGCGACATAGCCATTACGCTAACTGCTGGTTCCTCCCAATTCATTTTCTGATAGGAGAATAGATTTGGGACCTAACGAAGGTTAACATGAATCCAGGCTCTGCACTTTCTTTCTTTTTTTTTTTTTTTTTGGAGAGTTTTTTTCGCTACAGGGCGTGTGCACTCACCAGACAGACAGAGACATAGAGACAGAAAACGAGAAATCACCCCCCAGGGGGGATGGTCACACCGTAATCCCTTCTCCATTCTCCTCTTGGGATCTTGGGCACGCACGCACATGCGCCCGGCATGAGTCTTAAGCCACCGGGTCCGGGACGCGAACCGCAGTTGACTACATGGGAGTCCAGCGACATAGCCATTACGCAAACAGCTGGTTCCCTCTGCAATTTCTATATGATCTTGAGTATATTACCAGATGTATTTCAACCTACTTTCTCATATGAAAAATGGTTATGCATTGCTGACCTAAATGACTTAGGTGAAGTTTCATATTTACTTGTCTTTGCTCCAAAACGTTAGCTTCTTCCTCCTTTTCTTCTCCCCATTCTAAGAGTAGTGAGTGGTAAACTCCATACATGAGCTCTCCTCCCCCTCCCTTTTTGCCCTATTTCTCTGAGATCCGGTTACTGGCCCAGTTGGGCCTTGTGAAGTCCTCATGAACATTTACTTATCTCAGCGAACTGGCCTGTGGCCTGGGCTGTTCGTGAAGTCTGATTTATACCTCTCCCATAATTAAAACCACTAGACTAGAGGCACTAAAACTGGGCACAATCTGTTAATTCTATCAATTGACAAGTTGATGTGGCATTGAAACCTCTACATAATGTACGTCTTTACTTGATTTATGAATGCTTCGTTCTTGGCACATGAAACCTGCGTCTGTCTTTGGTGATAGCATGGCCCCTTCTCCATCTGACCGTCAGTGGAGCTTTCCTAGTAAGTAAATCCATGTCTTTGTCTGCTGGACCTTGGGGCATGTTCTTTGGAATCAGCAAACATTTAGCAGGCACGCCCAGATTTGGGGCCTCTTAAAACAAGTAGTAATGTAGTCCCCTCAGAAAATAAAAGTTTCCCCTTTTGAAAAAGCAATGTAATACATTGTAAAGTTATATGCAATTCAATGTAATATAAACAAGATTATGATGATAATAAAAAAACACACACGAAAAAAGAAAAGTTTCAAAAAAATTCTACCTATCTCACTACTGAAGAGTGACATTTCTTTTAACTTATAGAAGTAACTATAGTATTTTAAATGTTTTGAAAAAAAAGTACTGTTTTGTTTTTTAGTTTCTTTCATGATCTTATAAGGTAATATGGAAATTAGTATTAGAATAAATCAAACAAAATTATTTTTTTATTGCCTTAAATTTCAAAGAGAGTGGGCCAGCCGGTGGTATGGTGATTAAGGCAGCTGGATTCACATGGCTTTCTGCATGGTTTGAGGTCCAGATCTGGTGGCTTGAGAAACACATCAGATGTGTGTGAGGGCATCCCCCAAATCTCAAGAGAATGAAGGAGAAGGGTTTGTAGTGTGACCATTCCCCTTTGGGGTGTGCCTTCTCACTCTCTGTCTCTCTCAGGTGAGTACATATACCCTATAGCAAAAATTTTAAAAAATGTAAAAGACAGTATTTATGCTATATTTGAGAATACTAAGTATTTCATAGAATGGGACATAAAACAGGTTTCAATTATTATGTTATAGAAAAAAAAAAAAAAAAAAAAAAGAAAGCCAAAGCTCTGAGTTCTATTAGATTAGCAAAATCCTTCTAAGCCAATTAAAAATGCTTTGTAGTTAAAAAAATTAAAGCATAAGCAGAATTGGTATGGTACTATAAATTAAGAATTTTGGATTCCTTATAAACAAATCTAAAATAGGCTTTGAAAGCAATGCTTAAACCTTTTTAGTGTTAAATCTTTCAAGTCATGACAATTAGTTAGAAATAATAATTAATAATATTAATTATCTGAAGATTAAAACATTGAAATGAGTCAATTTTATAACAGAATGAGCCAACCAGATCTTCATGTATCAATATAGATGAACCTCTAATTATGTTCGGAGAGAAAGCTGCTAAAGAGTATCTACAGTATATTATCATTTATGTAAATTAAAAAAGGTAAATAATTATATGACATTTGTTTTATACACATGTCACAGAGGTATTAGGAAAGAAATATTAGAACATACTTAAGGAGGTTATGTCATCTTGGGATTGCAACACATCTTATTAAGAAAGCGAAAAAGAAGGGTAAGATACTTTCTCCTTTCCATGATTATTTACTTATTTATTTAGTGCTAAAGAGCACATGTCCTCACCAGAGAAAGACAGACAGAAAGCGAATGAGAGGAGAAAGTGCCTCTCACAAGCACCGGTCACTTCACAATCTCTTGTCCATCTCTCACTCCTTTAGGGATTTCAGGCGTGCACACACATGTACCTGGATTATTTTTCAATCCACTGGGCTCAGGACTTGAATCATGTGGTGGACCTTGTGGGATCTGGCTACTTTAACCAACAGATCGAGGAGCCAGTTTGATTTTATTCTTTCTTTAGAAGAGATTTTAATATAGCTTAATCTTAGGATTTGTTTAATCTATGTGTTGGACATTTTGCTTTTTGCTTTGAAATTTGATAATTTTCTTGTTTAAAAATAAAATAGTGGCCAGCCAGTGCATGTAGTTAAGGTGGTTGGATTTCACATGAGTTACTTGGAGGTTCAAGCCCTGGATTCAGAGGCCTGGGAAAAAAAATGCAGGGAGCATGTGTGTGCATGTCCAAAATCTTGAAAGGAGAGAAAAAGGGAAGAAGAGACTGCAGCATGACCACCCTCCATGGGAAGTGTTTTCTCACTTTTCCTCTCTCTCTCCAGTGACTGCATACTAAAGAAGTAATAAAAGCACTACAGTAAAAATTGTTCTGGCCAATTTAAGATGATATATTTAGTATTTCTAATAAAAACAAATTAAATTAAAATGCATTTCCTAGAATTTCCTAGAACAACAAATAAATCATTTGTAATCTTTCC